ATCATAGATTGGTTTTATGGTTTATAATAGTAATGTATTTAAGAAAATAACAAAAAAAATTCTATCGTATAACCTCTATAAAGGCATTTATAAATGTATTAACTTTAACTGTTCTTGTATTATTTTATTCTGTACCCCTAGGGACAGTTCAAGGGAGGAAGACCCTGGATAAGATGGATTGATTCAGTAACTACTAGGGCAATGAGAGTAATTGTCAGAGTCATGAGACTGGCTCAGGACAGGGCAGGCTTCAGAGCTGTTGTACATAGTGTTGCTATGAGTCATAGGCGATGGCATATAACCACCACCCTCTAGTTAACTTCATGTCTTATACTCTCTAAGTCCAAGATGGAACTAAATTTCTAGGCTGCTGCTTCTCTCTCATTTGATCTCGGCTCAAGGACTATGCTAGGTGTGATGACAATAACCACGGAGAACCCAAGATGAAGAGGCACCAGCATAATTTCCATGGAAGCCCCAGCTGATATTATTGTGCCCTTATTTATAGATGATGCAGGGCAGTGGCATGATTCATTCTGCTACACGTCAACTTCCCATGAATCAGAGCCTACATGAGAGCAAACAACACTTAATCCTGAGGTAGGTGCTATTTTCATCAATTTATAGAAGGAGAAACTAAGGGTCATGCAGTCAGCCAGTAACAGGCAGGGTTCAAAATCATCTATTTAAAGTCCTGCCACAGTTCCTCTGAGATGGAGAACTATCCTACTGAATTTGCCCTTTTATGGTTCAATCAATCAAATCCATTTTGAGGGTCTTCCTTTGCATGCAGTGTTAAGTGGTATGTATACAGATTTATCCAGTCCAGTGACTTGGGATGAGGAGAGAAAAAAAGGAATAGAATCTTATCCTTAATACAGGGACCTTCTTTGATTCCACTTTATCACCTACTTTGCCTCTAACAAGGAATTCAACAAATGTCTCACTAATGAATAAATAAGAACTGGAATCTCACAGAAAACAGGATGAGCCTACATATTACATATATATACCTAGGGCAGTATGTAGCACCTAGTGGGATTCATTATGAAGTCAATGAAGAGAAGAACATTCAGTTAGTATTTGTTGATGCTTGGGATCCTTCAGTAATCTTTCTGCATGGTTTAACACAATTATGATTCAGAGTCTTTGCTTTCAGGGTCTTGAGGGTATAGAACAAATAAAACACACACATAACTAAAATAGAGACAGGAAGCAGAAAATGTCAATGGAAGTGGGCCAGTCGGTGTTTATAAGTTTGAAGAAGCTGGGAAGACTGTAAAGGAAGCTCTTTCCCCTAAAGCTGCCTATTTCCTTAGAAACCCTTTTTCATGCTGGCCTTGGCAATGATGTGGCTTTAAGCATCGCTTGTATTTGGATTAATTCCAACTTTCTTTGTTCTGATTTCCCCCTCGTTATGACCTTCTTCAGGCATTGTAAATGTTATATATAAAAATAGAACTCATAATTTATCTTCCACGTTTGTCTCCGTCTTCCCAAGGATGGAAGGAAGGAGGACTCAATGCTACTGGGAATGAGAGGCTGGAAATTCACAGCATGCAGACAGAGAAGCAGATGAGGACTTAATAAAGGTCTTTACATTTTTGCAATGTATTCTCTCACCATCTCCAGCCACTTCACCCTCCCACCCAAAATGTGACGTGTACCCTCAACTATTTCTTCTTGTTCTACACTAGAAAAGGCCTTAAAAAAATCAACATTAAAAGTATTTTTCATTTACTACTTCTGTCGCAGGGGACCTCTGAATTCTTCTAATAGCAAATAGAACATGGCAGTGGTATGTAAAAAAACCCAAAAAAGTCTGAACTATACTAGTCAGCAAGAGCAGCACTTGAGAAGGTGAGAAGGAAGATGATTTTTTAACATCTACAAGTAGTAGCCTCTCTCAACCCATAAAATATGTCCTTTTTTACACTATAAACAATACACGTATACGAATCTACAGAATAACACAATTGGAGACAGGAAATTGCACTAAGACAGTCTGTTCACCAGGAAACTGAAATGCTTCTATGCTCAATCACCTTTGCATCTTTGAGATCCTAAAATAGAAGAGAATAAACGCAAGGCTATGGCTGATTGGCTGGCTCTTCAAGATATTTGTTTCTTTTCTGCAAGACACACAGTCAGTTCTACTTCTTACGATCTCTCAGTAAGAAGGCCATATGACTAAGATTTGTGGAGAGAAGGGATCTGAACTACTCCTAGACCTGATATGTAAGAAATTCCCTGTGTACAAACTCTGCCCTCTTAACTTTCTCTACTACATCAACTCAGAGGATTTGAGGGTTGAGAGAAAGGCAGAGAAAACAAAAGCTTGAGTTTCCGAAGGGCTGTAGATAGATACTCACTGAGCAGAAACCTCTACTGAGGCCTTTTTAAAAAACAAAACCAACAAACCCCCTGTTGAGTTGATTTCAACACATGGCAACCCTACAGGATCAAGGAACACTGCCCCATAGTGTTTGCAAGGCTGTAATCATTCGAGAAGCTATTAGAGAAGCTTCCTACCACAAAGCAGCTGGTGGTTTCAAAACTGGAACCTTCTGACTAACCTAAAGCTTAACCACTCACTGCACCATGGGAAAGTTACTTCACTTCTCTGAGGTGTACTAAGGTGGTGTAACAGTGCTTGACCAATAAGAAAAGCTCAATAAATGTTGTGTGCCAACAGGCTGAGGCTGATTCAATATAAAACCATTATTAGGAAACAAAGTTTCCTTCTCCTTAATTTCTTTCTTTTCTTAAATTACTTGGAAACTTGTTGGGAGGAAAGAGATAGTGAGAAGCTTTCAGCTGTAACTATCAGCTGCAAAATATCCATTAGTAGACTGACGGTCTGATACAGAAATATGAAGACATGATCATTGTAATTGTAGTCCAAACAAATTGTTTATAACAAGGCCCAAGCCCATCCTACATAAACAGCAACAGAATTCAGCTAATACAAACAGCTCCAGCTTTTTTTTCCTGATAAAACTTCACCAACAATTCTAGTTTTTGTGTTTTTTGTTTGTTTGTTCGTTTGTTTTTTTTTTTACAATTCTAGTTTTTAGTGACTGGCAAGTGCTTTCAAGAGCCACACAGAAGCAAAATGAGTGACTGATAACGTAGTTCTGGTGGCGTAGTCCCTACAAAACTATGCTGCTAACCCAAAGACTGTGCTTCTGTGACAATTCAAATCCACCAGCATCTCCTTTGGAGAAAGATGAGCAATCTTCTCCTATGCAATTTACAGCCTCTGCTGGAGGGTCAGCAATGAGTTGGTTCTGACCAGAATTTTGCAATGAATTTTGAGGTTTTTCTATGACCTTCCAAAAGAGGGAGTAGTGAGCTTCTCAACCAGAAAAGGATAGAACCCAGATCAGTAAAGAAAGCTACAACACAAGCTTCACTGGCAGAAGCTATGATGGGAATGTAACCAGACGCACTCCAGCTTGAGCATCAGTTGCCTGAGCATCCTGATATGTACAATATTCCTTTTCCTGGAAAACCCTGCCTCTTCTCCTCAAAAAATGTTAAACATGAGCCCTTTGTCACACACTTAATCTAGAAATGCTCCTGCAAAACTTGCCTTTCCAAAACAGGATTTGTAAATGGTACAAGTCTCTGTCTCTTTTTATTTGCTGCAAGTAAAAATAATTTGGACATCAAACAATTCAACTAAAGACAAAAACACTCATTTCTAATAAACATGTGAAGTACAGAACGAATGTTAAGTCCTCCTTCCCTCTCTTTTCCTTTGACACTGATTATCCGGGGTCATTCTAATGCAGAACTCAAAGACCACATTACTTCTGATTTCAGACAGACATAACATTTGTATAAAGACTATTTTATCCTGTTACAATATTTAATGGAAACAGTTTAATAATAATCATTATCAATTTTTATTATTTTTATATAATTTATAGGACATCTTTGTAATATCTGTTACAATGCACACTTATTTATGAAGTATTTATTAACTCCTTTTGCAAAAGAAAACAAGAACAAAGAGGGAAGAAGCTAGAAAATAAGACTTCCAAACTAACTGTCAGTGATTGGCTTAAATCTCTGGCAATTATTTAATAGAAAAGTATTCATTTGTAACTCTGAAAGATATCAAAAGTGCAGTGCATTTAATTAAAAACTGAGCAGGATCAAATATATTATTCGGGTACCAAGTTTCCCTTTCTAAATATATTCCGATTCATCGACTTCATATCTATTTAAAAAAATGGCTTTAAACAATGACCAACAAAATTTTCAGTTAAATAATACCAGATCTGGCTGAAATAATGATATTCTTAAAAATTCCATTTTATTTATTCATCAGTAAAGTGTAAATATTTGACAAGGTTCCCAGAGAATGGACTTCCTGTAAATAGGAAGGTGAAAACTCTTATTATGCCTGCTATTAATCAGGTCATTTATATAACTGCGAATATGTTTTTTTTTTCTCTGTAAATGTTCATTAAAATAAAATAAATCAGGATTTTTTTCCCCTCACATTTTGATGTTTTCACATGAATAAAGTACAAGTAGTCATCTTTATCCCAAAACCCAAGACTTAACCATTCCAAAAACAGTAATCACTTTTATATTAGTATTTTTTTCTGTTATGGTTCTTAGTCTTGGTATTATTAAGCACAAGAGATGTTCCTCAATGCATATGAGAGGACAAGAGGTCAAAGAACATTGCCTAGTCTCTTCAATAATTTATTTCTTATCCTTTTAAAAACTGACATTGCAGGTAAAAATAAACTATGACTCTGTTGGCTGAAAAGACCCAAGTTGTCCCTTACACCAACACCTGGAATTTTAATCTTAAAATCAAAATTCTGGAGCTCACAGCATCTTCCTTTGATCTACCATTATAATCACTGCTCAGCAGGACCTACAACGCTGATTTTCAAAAGGTATCATTTACCCGCTACGACTCTGTTGTATGCAGATTATTTTTACTTATTAAAAATAATTAATAATTACACAATAATCTACTCATTCTTTGTACATGCTTCATTGAATAATTTTTCATTTTTACAATCATTTCCTGCATGGCAGTTGCATTCTTCTTCTGTCATTTTCTTCACATATGTAAGTGGCCCCTTCCCTTCAAAAGAAGAAGGATTTTTGAACGAGCCTCCAATTCTATCCCACAAGGTAAAATACTGTCCATAGTTATAGTCAAAGAATAGGTGGTGGTCTGTATGATGAGCTGCACCATTGATAAATGGTCTGAAGATTTTGGGGACACGAAAATCACCATCATGAATGGAAATTGTCCAGATGTTGACCATGACATACAAAGTTAAATAAACCACCTTGTGTAAGGGAAAAAGAAAAGGGTATATATGGTAAGGCAGACCCTGAAGGAAACCATCCACAGGGTGAAAAGCATGACTTGCAAATGGAGTAGTGATCTTCCAAATATGGTGAGGTTTGTGTATATTCTAGAGAAGAAAAGGACATCATTATCACCACAAATATTATCCAGCACAACATTCAATTTACCTTTTCAAACTCATGTTACAGAAATGACCTAACTGAAAATTTCCATCCATTTTATAAAATGCCCATGGCCTTCTCTGCTCTAATATAGTAAAATTTTAACATTATCTTTTCAGATCCCCAAAAAGTATGAACAAAATATGCCTGGCACCTGTCATGACCATCACTACTTATTATTTAACATGGAGAAAATTCTTAGAGAATAGAAGTTAGATTCATACAGTGGTATACATAATTTTTCCCTATTTCCTCTATAAATGATTTTACCTTATAAACAAGCCGATGGTGAAGGCCTCTGTGAATCCAATAGATCAACATATCAGTGAAAAAGAGGAAGGATATTATGCTAACAACAAGTTGAATCCAACCTAGAAGAAACAACAGAGAACATTATAACTAAGGGTGGTTTTCAAGATCAGAGTTCACCTTTCACACTTATGTAAGCTCAAAACATGATCTGGAGGCAAAGGCTACAAAAGCAACTGATTTAACTTATTACATCATAAATTAATCTCTACCAATTACATCCAAAATGTCTTATGAAATGTCTCACCTAAAGGAGTAAACTTCATCAAACTATCAACATTTACATGAGGGAGTTCTGGGTGGTACAAAAGATTACATACTTGGCTGCTACAACAAACTAAGATCGAAAGTCCTACAGAGCAGTTCTATTCTGACACAGGCTGAATAGGAGCGAAGAGGACAAGATGCTATTTCACAGCCTTTGGACACTTTTGGTAAAACAGAGGGTGAGTGAGAGAGAGGGAGAGCTTAACAAGGCAGACTGACAGTGGCTGCAACCCTGTGCTCGAACACAGCAACAACTGTGCAGATGGCAAGGACTGGGCAGTGTCCTGTTCTGTCTTATACATGGCAGCCACGGGGCGGAAATGGATTCAACACCCCACCTACCCATGACAGGAAAGGACACTACAGAGGCATCTTCACTTCATAAATGTTAGAAAAATGCTATTCAATAATATTCTGTCAAATGATTCCAAAACCGGTTCTTTCTACGAACTACCTCATTAAGCACAGTTATTGATTCTATAATCCAACCATTTCTGATTTCCTGAACCTTACCCAGTACTTATTCCTGTACTTCTGCTTTACTAATAAGGATGGTTTGTGCAACATCTTCCTCTTAACCTAGCTTTAAAGTCTTACCCTCCAGGCCTTTATTTTTACTTATAATCCTGTCCATTTTTCAAGGCCCGGCCAACTCACCACTTTAATGTATAATTTTTGTTTTCTAGTCTAAGTAACTACTTAAATTGTGATTTTAATAAAAGTTTACAGAAAGCTTGGGTTTTCACTCATTCATTGTTGCATACTTTCCTCCCTTTCTCTTCCCCAGTCCACTCTGCAGTGCACCTCTTGTTCCAGATTGTTGTCACATATAAAATGCCTAATCATATATCCTTTCAGACAGTTCTTTCTCTCATTGGTTCCAATGCAGTCTTCATTATCTATCCACTCTTTTCCTATGCTCCCCTTCCCATGTTAGTCCTATTTTATAACAGCAGTATTATGTAGTATTTGTCCTTTTGTGATGGAGATATTTCACTCAGCATAATGTCTTCAGGTTAACCTATGTTGTGCAATGTTTTATGAGTTCAATATTTTTCAGTGCTGCATAATATTCCATTGTATAATTTATTTATTTTTTTTGGTCAGAGAGAAAGAGAGCCAGTGCTAGCAAATCTGGGTTAAAATTTCAGATTTATTCACTGAGTACCTAACTTGTGAAAATCATTTCTCTGTATACTTCACACTGTCAATGAAATGAGTGTAACAGTCTACAGTCAACTATACCATGCTGAAAGTGCTAGATCTCACCTAAATGAGCACATCTGAACCTACCTCCCAGAACTATAATGTGAGGAAAACTGAATGACAGATGTAAGGAGCTTAGAACTATAGCTTGCATATAATAAACAATATATTTTATCATTGTTTTAAAAAGCTTTTAGTATCAGCTCTGGTGGCATTGTAGTTAAGGCCTTAGCTTGCTAAGCAAAAGACTGGCAGTTCAAATCCATCAGCTGCTCTGAGGTAGAAAGATAAGGTCTTCTGCTTCTGTAAAGATTTATAACCTTGGACCAAATAGGCAGCTCTACTTTATCTGACAGTGTCTCTAGGAGTCAAAACCAACTTGATGGCAGTTGACCCAGTGGCTACAACAATGGGCCAACGAGAATAGTGACTGGGAGGATGGTGCAGGTCAGACAGTATTTTGTTCTGTTGTACTGCGAGTTGGATGAGTTGGAACCGACTCAATAGCATCGAACAACACAATTTTCAGAAATGAATCCTGAATAAATAATTTCAGAATTTCCCAAAAATTTAGTCACCACAGGACTGTGAGAGTGTGTGTGTGTCAGTATGAGAGACAAAGCAACAACTTGGCAGTACAACAATTAAGAATGACTTACATGAGTTATGTATAGTTGTCCACTGAAATACTGTTAGCTAATAAACTAAGCCAATATCTAATGACAAGAAAATATAGCCACATATTTCTGAGAGGAAAAAAAACAAGGGGGGTTCCAAACCAGTTTCATTTTTAATGGCTTAGTGATCTGCCACTCCAAACATAAGTGGTTCGAATCTACCAGCTGCTCTAAAAGATGGGCACTCTCCCCCACGTGACTTATAGCCTCTGAAAACCTACTTAAGAGTCAGCTAAAAGTTGGTTCTGACTAGACAGCAATGTGTAGTAGCAGTAGCGGCACAGAAAAAAAACAAACTGGAAGATACATGACAAAAGATATACTCTTTCGAGGTGGCAGAAAAAGAAATTTCTAAAATAGCTATTTTCTTATTTTCAGCAACTGTCATTTATTCTTTTTTTAAAAAATAAGTTTCATTTCTTACTAAGAAAACAAATGCAAGGGTCTATCTTTAATCAAATGAGGGCTGTTGGCATAGTAGGTTAAGCACTGTGTGAGGCTAACACCAAGATCAGGACATCAGTTCAACCCATCAGCTGTTCCACAAGAGAAAGATGCGGCTGTCTGCTTCTGTATAAAGATTTATAGCCTCAGAAACTCTACGTGACAGTTATACTCTGTACTGAAAAATCAATAAGACTCAGAATCAACCAAATGGCAGTGGCTCTCTTTAATCATTCCACCTTCCCTCAGGCAACAGACTTTTAAAATTATACTAAAGAAAAGCAAATATGTGATGAATCCATGCCAACAGGACAAATTATTAAAATAATTAAACAACTTATTATTTTAACTGAAAGAAAAAAAAAGAGGGAGATTTTGTTCTTTAAAGAAATTAACTTGTGCTCAAATCATCTTTCTCTTCAATAATCTACTTACCATATGGAAACTCTCCTACTTCATCATATAATTTGCTATAACCTCGCACTTCTACTAAGAACAAGAAAACAGTGGGAATACTTATCCACGGCAAAGACTGGACAGTAAACTTAATTTCTCGATAGACTTGATTCTGAAAATCAAAATTGCAATACTTAAAATCAGAATGATTGATTTAACATAAATATATATCAAACAAAATCAGCATGAACATATTCAGGGCTGGATTTTGAAATCTTTTTATTTCAGAGTGCTCATCAATTTGACGGTAGTGAGTCTGACTTTCAAATGGTTTCGAGTAAAATTTTCGTATGTGGGAATATACGTGCAAGAAAGACATCCTTTAACAGGAAGTAAATGCAACAAATATTTTAAATTTGAAATTCTCCTTTCCACAAAATCTTTATTCTAATTTCCATTTCAGAATAATAATTTCTTTCACAATTAATTTCTATCCTTACCCTTACCTCATTTTTTTTGGGGGGGAAGTGGGGGTCCTTTTAGAAACTGACAAATACAAGTAAGTCAAATAGAAAAAAAATTTAAAAATTTTTAGCCTCACTATCTTATCTAGTCAAATAAAAACATGGTAAAAATATTTAATTTTGTAAAGACTTACATTCAAAGAAGTATATTTATCACAATTAGTAAAGTCACAGTGTTTACGAAGATACCAGATCTATTATTTGGTTTTTATTTTTTAAAATGTTGCATCCATTTATTTGTTTAAAAGGAAGGACAGGAGAACAGTTTACTGAAAGTGTCTAATTAATTGGAGTTGATTTCATACACTTCATTTTAGGCTAAATATAATCAGTTTAATCTGAAAACTTCACAATACATCCCATCATTATTCCACTCTTAACAAATTCTATAAAGTAGGTAAGAAAATCACTTACCTTTAAAAATTGTGGGTGTTTCATCAAAGAATGATCAAAAATAAAATAATAGCTTATTGAAGCAAAGAGAAAATAAAGGATAAAAGCACCAATATTTGTTAAAATTAAGAGACTAATAGTCTGTCGGAAGATGTTATCCTCTGGCCATGACACTGGATAAGCATATGGTGTGAAAAAATAATAATCAGCAATGTTGAGTACAAGATCCATCTTATTTCCTAAAAGATAAACATACAGTAATTATTTTACATTTCTATTACCAAAAAAGGTCCCATATGAAGGAACTATATGAAGTTTCTGATTTAAAAATTACCATATGAAAGGAATTCCTTAAAAGTAACGCTCAGAGCAAGAAGAGAACTACAGTATCAACTCCAGTCCGTATGATATACATGGGGACACGAAAGTTCAGTTAAAGAAGCTGAAGCCCTGCGGTGTTTTTGAGGTCATCAAGCTAGTTAGTGGTATACACAGATCAAATTTTATTTATGTGTTCTTTTCTGAACTTGCCTATGGCAACATACCAATTCTGAAAACATGGAAACCAGGTTACCAGTTAAGAAGACAGATATTTTACTTCTTCAACTAAATACTTACCAGGCACTGCAAGGGGGAAAGATAAGCAGTCTTCTCCCACAGTTTTGATGCTGCTGTTGCTGTGTACCATCAAGTCAGAACAGACTTATAGCTAACTCTCAAGATGGTTTTCAGAGGCAGTAAATCACACGGGAGACTGCCCATCTATCTCCTGCAGAGAAGATGGTGGATTTGAACCGTGTGCTGTTGAGTCGGCAGTGCAGTTTCTTACCACTAGCCCACCCATAGTTTTAGAAACCCAATGAAGAGTCACTATTTGTCAGTATCAGCCCAGCAGCAATGTTGTTGTGAGGTCCTGTCAAGTTGCCTATGACTCACAGCAATTCTACGAACAATGAATCTAAACTTGTGCCATCTTTATCATCTCTCAAATACTTGAGCCCACTGTTACAGTTACTGGGTAAATCCATCATATTGAAGGTCTTTCTCTCTTTTGCTGACTTTCCACATTTCCCAGCAGAATGTCTTTTTCCAACAAAAAGCCCTTCCTAGCAGCACAACTGCACTGCACCAGGGAATATTCAGTACTCCTCTCCAAAACTCAAAGGCATGATGATTCTTTCATCTTTGCTCATTGTCTAGTTCTCAATCAGGTGCACTTTAGTCTTTAAAGTGACATCATTGCTCCTCAGTACTTTGTAGGACTCAACAAATATATGGTGTTTGTTGCTCTAACAAATCTAAAAAATCTGTTCTACATATATTTTGAAAAGGTATGGAGACAGGATGCATCCATAATGCACTCCTTTCCCGATTTTGAACCATGGTGTGTTTTCTTGCTCTGTTTTGAGGACTGCCTCGTGGTCTAAGTATAGGTTTCACATGAGCAAAATCGGGTTTTCTGGGATTCCCAATCTTCTCAAGCTTAGCCACAATTTGTTGTGATCCACAGTCAAATGCCTTTGCATAATCAGTATGACACCAATAGACATTCTCTGGTACTCTCTGCTTTCAGCCAAGATCCATCTGACATTTGCAATGATATCCGTAATGCCACAGCCTCTTTTAAACTCAGCTTGTATTTCTCTGTCAAGGCACTGTTCCAAATTGCTTTTGGATGATCTTCAGCAGGATTTTGCTTGTGTGTTATCATTCAATAATTTCCACACTTTGTCAGATCACCTTTTATTGGAATGGTTATAAATATGGATTTTTTCCAATCAGTTGGCCAGGTAACTGTCTTCCAAATTTCTTGTCAAAGCCTGGTAAGCACAGCCAGGGCTGCATCTGTTTGCTGAAATGTCAATAGGTATGTCATTAATTCCTGGGGTCTTGCTTTTTGCCAATTCCTTCAGAACAGCTTGACCTCCCTCTTTTATCACCATTCCTCTTGGTCATATATTATTTAATTAAATTCATCTGTGCTTGCCAATTCTTTTGGTACGACAATTCTGTACTCCTTCCATGTTCTTTTGAAGCTTCCTTGGTCATTCAATATTCTGCCCATAGCATTCTTAAGTATTGCAACTTGACGCTTGAATTTATTCTTCGGTTTCCTCAGCTTAAGAAATGTCAAGTGCCATTGAAAAACAAGGAACTCATGAAATATTATACAAAATGGGTAACCCTGGAGGACACTATGTTAAGTGAAATATCTCAATCACCAAAGGACAAATACTGCCATAATGCCATTGTTATAAAGCAGGGCTGACATTGGGTTTGGGGAGAAATTAATAAAAGAGGGGATAAATAATGTACACTGCATTGAAACGGATGAGGGAGAGAACTGTTTAAAAGGGATACATGATTAGGTATTATTTGCATGGCAAGAGTCCAGAATAAGAGCTGCGTAGTAAAGTGGACTGGGCGGGGGGAGACTATATAACAATGAAAAAATGTGCAACAATGAATTAATTGAAATCCAAGTTCTCTACAGTCTTTCATTTAAATTTCAATAATAAAAATAAAAAGAGATGTCTAGATCAAAAAAGAAATGATGGCAAGGCTGTGGAGAAACTGGAACTCTTATTCACCACTAGTGGAAGTGTAAAATGGTATAGCTACTATGGAAAGCTGTCTGATGCTTCTTCAAGAAGTTGGAAATAGACATACTATTTGATCCAGCAAGTCCACTACTAAGAATATGCCCTATAGAAACCAGAGTTATGACTCAAACCGATATATGTATATCCATGTTTCTTGCAGCCTTATTCACAATAGCAAAGAGATGGAAGCAAACCAAATGCCCAAAAACTAATGAATGGATAGAAAAACTATGATAAAGTCACACAATGGAATAAAAATAAAAATTATCTCATTGTCTTGGCTCTGGACTCCTGTCATGACAATAATACCTAATCACATATCCCTTTTAAACAGTTTTCTCCCTCATCTATTTCAATGCAGTATACATTATTGAACCCAACTTTCTCTGTCTCCCCCCCAACCCCGATGTCAGTCCTGTTTTACAACAGTGGCACCAAGCAGTATTTGTCTTTTTGTGACTGAGATACTTCACTTAGCATAATGTCCTCCAGGGTCACCCATTTTGAATAATATTGCATGAGTTCCTTGCTTTTCAATGTAGCATAGTATTCCATTGTGTGAACATACCACAGCTTCTCTATCCATTCGTTTGTTGATGGGCACTTAGGTTGTTTCCAACCCCTTGCTATTGTGAACAAAGCTGCAATAAACATGGGTGTGCATATATCTGCTTGGATGTCAACTATGGTCTCTTCAGGGTATATTCCCAGTAGTGGAATTGCGCAGTCAAATGGTATCTCTATTTGCAACTTTTTGAGAAAGCGCCATACTGCTTTCCACAGGGGTTGCACCATTTTACACTCCCACCAACAGTGAATAAGGGATCCAGTTTCTCCACAACCTCGCCAGCATTTGTTGCTTGCTGTTCTGTCTGACTGGGGTGAGATGATATCTCATAGTTGTTTTAATTTGCATCTCTCTTACAGCTAGGGAAAAATTAAATCTATTCTATGTGTTTTTATCATTTTAGTCTGAATTAATTAATTTATTGATTTAGTCATTAAGTATTCATTAATATATTACTATAATTTGACATCTAGTACAATCTTTTGAAATCAGTTACTAGCAGTAACATCTCAAAACTGCAATTTAAATTTGGCATTCATATTCAAACACACCACTACAGAATATATCTGTGACTATCAAACTGCTAAAATAACAAACAGGTACATCTTGGAGATGGTGCAGCCAGAGTGCTCCTTAGATAGGGATATAATGCTTGGAAAGGTGGAGGGATGGCAAAGAGAAAGCCCCTCGACCAGATGGACTGACACAGTGACCATAGCAATGGGCTTGAGTGTTAGAGATTGAGAGAATTGCACTAGATAGGATAGCCTTCAGCTCTGTTGTTCAAAAGGTCGCTATTAGTTGTACTCAACTCGACAGCATAACAGGAACATCATCGAACTGTTGTGAGGTTTAGGGACTACCTACACAAAGCACTTGGTACCATCTGACAAGAAAGGTGTTAAGAGCTGTTATTACTTAAGTAAAAAAACGGAATCAAAATTAACCCAAAGCAGAAAGGGAGTGAGGGGTGTCATTCGCTTTTTCTTTAGAAAGTAATTCACAATAGTTCATATAATATTTATTATATACTCAAACTCTGCTAAGATTACAGCCTTGGCAACCATGTGGGGCAGTTCTAATCTGCCCTCCAGGGTGCCAATGAGGTGGGACTTGACTAGACAGCAAAGAGTTTTAGAATAAGAGATATTATTAATGTTTTACACATAACAATTCATTACACCTCTCAGAAAAGCCCAAAGTTAGGTACTGGTTATTTTAAAGTGGAGGAAGCAACACACAGAAAATTCAACAAACTTGGCTGGAGTGTTTTGGTTACAAAGTCTACAGACTTTAGGCTCTATTGGCTTTTTACCACTATTTCTACTTAATAATTTTAAAAATTCCGAGTAGCTTTATATATAATTTTAAGGGTTTCAAAGACTCCATGAAATCACATGCTCCACTGGCAAGTGCTCTTGCTTTATTTTTAAAATTTTTTTTAATATTTTAACAAAAGTTTATAGAAAACTTGGATTTCCATTCATTCATTCATTGTTGTACATTTTCCTCCCTACCCCCTCCCCAGTTCACTTTTCTCTTTAAAAAGATTCTTTCATTGTTGCACAATTTCCTCCCTCCCTCTCCACGGCCCCAGTCCACTTTGCTATGCACCTCTTATTCTGGAATGTTGTAGTGCACTTGCTTTTAACAGAAGCTTATATATCATTTTACCTTTGCAGAAAAAAAGGAAAGCTTTTCTTATAATACAAGTACCAATATGATATTACTAGGCTTGAAATTAAGATCCTTGGGTTGTATACAGTCTATCAGCTGTCCAGTGAAAAGTTGCCAGGACAAGCCTACCCAGAGCCTCTTCAGGAGAAAAAACTAGACATCTTCTGTAAAGATTATTGCCAAAACAAATAGTCCACAAAAATAAGGTTCTGCATCACACTTTAATAAGTTGGGACTGGGGCCTTAAAAGTTTACAGATAGCCATCTAAGATGCAACTACTGGCCTCCAGCAATCAAGAGCAAAGAAGACTGAAGATAATCAAAAGACATAAGGAAATCATTAGTCCTAGGAATTAATGGACCAAGAGAACTTCAGCCTCCAC